GGTTGGAAATGTAAAGGTAGATGTTTTGTAGCAAAAGGAGGGGAATGTACGGGATTGTAATCAATGTGAAGATGATGTCCTCCCATGTAAACTACCACATAATTCACAATAAAGCATTAAAAAAAAAAAAGGAGGGGAATGATTGACTTTGAAGTCCAGGAGCAGAGGTCCCTGGAACTATCAAGGGAGAAAAGCGGAGTGTAAGATCCTACCCAGAGAAGCAGTGACCCCAGAGATGGAGGCAGAGATGAAGACATGGAGAGATGGAATGGCTGGTGACTCTAGACCCAGAGAGGGAGAGGGGCTGTGTGCGGACAACAAGGGAGCAGGCTTGCAACCCTTTGGTTGGTTGATGATGCATGGAGGGGATTGCAACCATGGCAATGAATCAATATACGAAAGGATGAATGTAAAGCTAATGTTCTCCCACGTAAACTATCACACAATTCACAATAAAACACACACACACAAAAAAAACAGATACTATAGCTGAAAAAAAAAAAAAAAGAATCACAAGGTAATAAAAATTAATAAAGATGTTATCTATGGTAGATGGGAGAAAGACAGGTTGGGAATGATATAAATTGAATCCAACTGCTTTCCATGATAGTTATGTCTTTTGTTTTGTTTTTGTTTTTTGTTTTATTTTTTATTGTGAACTGAGTGATGGTTTACATGGGAGAACATTGGCTTTACACCATCGTTTCAGTGCAATGATTACAATCTTCTCCGTGCATCATCATTCAACAGTATTTGCTTCCATTCCCTCTGTTTTTCTTTTTAGTGGGGATGGGGTGGGGAGATGTGCACAAACAAACTCAGGAATATGTAATAATTTAAACAACCAAAGGGCACATTCTGCAAGCCTCCCTCCTGACTGCCAGCAGTCAGTCCCTCTCTTTACATGAATCTAGAGTTCTCAGCTGCTCCCTCTCTCCATGTCCCCATCTCTGCCTTCATATCTGGTGTCCCTGCTTCTCTGGATAGGGTCCTGCACTACACTTGTGCTCTTCTCCCTTGATGGTCTTAGGGTCCTCTGTTTCTGGACTGTCAGATTAACTACTTCCCCATTTTTGTTACAAAACTTCTACCTTTACAGTTGTGACAGTAGAAATTAGTCATGATAACAATTACTCACTATTGAATCATAAGAATCTTATCCCCATCTCTTTTCACCAGACCTGTCTAGACAAGATGAAAACTATTCAGTGGGAACTCTATCTTCTCCCACAGATTCTTAAACTAAACTCCCTCTTGATAATTTGTAAGCCTGTCACTTCGTGCTTTTATCACCCCCTCATTTTAGGTAGCCAGTGTCTAAATTGCCCATCCCTATCTACTCTGTACACAGAGGGAATAGGATTGATACTTGATGTGAAGACTCCTTCCCTCTGTGTTGGTATTTTGAGCTACTACATCCATAAGTATAGGTCAATTTCATCAAATTATAGCAATTTACACTTGTTTCCTTTATCAAAAATTATTTTTTTTATCTTCCTCTAGTCGAGTTCTGATTATCAGGCCATCGAGGCTAGGTCAAATGGGTTGTTGTTGTTGTTATGTGCCGTGGGGTAGATTCTGACTCATAGCAACCCTGTACAAGGTTTTCGAGGCTATAAATCTTTACGGGAGCAGAAATCCTTATCTTTCTCACATGGAATAGCTGGTAGTTTTGAACTGCTGGCCGTGATATTATCAGCCCAATTTGTAACCGCTATGCTACCAGAGCTCCTTAGGTCAAATGGGTACTATCTGCAAATTTGGGTGTTCTTGTGTATCTCCCCTCACTTCATATCAGCTGGATGCTTCACTATCAGCTCTAGTCCTCTGTGGCTGTGCCCTTGGCCATGGGCTCAGGTGTCCCAGGTCTCACCACACTTTGAACCAACCAGCCCTTCCTCTTCTCTCTCTCATCTCCAGGTCAACGTGAGTCTATGGAATGTGGTTGAATTCAGCCCATTTCTTCATTGCTGTCTTTCTCCCTCTTCCACTTGTCAGTAGACCAATGTGGTCGCCAGCAGGCTTACATGCCTGCTCATGTGTTCCCTTGAGTTTCATTCTTGGAGGGGGGTTTGTTCTGAAGGGGCTTGATTGATTGCCTTAATGGTTTCCCGGTAAACAACTTGCTTATTCTTGTAGTAGCCAATTATACTGCCATTTTTGTTTTGTTTTTTTTTTCTGATGATCTTTCTTTGAAGATGTATCTTCTGTTGCTCTAGCTGATCCAGGCTGATCTGCTTGTCCTTTCTGGTGGAATGTCCCACCTTATAAGGTTCTGGATGAGGCTCAGGATTCCACCTAAGGTCCTATATTCTGCAAAGGCTTTGCAAGAGGCCTATTTCACTGGGCAAGTTCTTGAACCCCTTTAAGGCATTCCAATTCCTTTTATTCATAAACCATCAGCACAATCTGTTTTTATTTTAAGGGCCAGAAAAAAAAATCCACAATGATATTATACTTAATATTTTATTATAATAACCTCTTCATTTATTTTCCTTTTAAAGTACTATAAATATGAACTCAATAGTCACTTTACCTAAATCATTAGGAACTTAATACATTTAAGAACTTAATAAAAACAACACCTTGACCTGAAGACTAAGGAAATGATGACTTAGAGGAGACAGAGAGCACAGGATGGACGTAAATAGATGTGAACTACTGCTATGTTACCATTCTGTGGATCAACCACCTGGAGCTTTTGGACACAGTTGATTTGCGGGTGCAGTTAGTTTTTGTTTGTTTAATGTTTATCATTGCAAACACTCACAATAACCCATTTCCAGTTTATGTCAGAGTTGTGACTGAAATTGTTTTCTAAATAGCCCTTTTCCTGAACACCAATAAATTAAACGGTCACAAGTTTTGTTAAAGCAGAAACTATTACTGAATAGAGTTTGATGATGTAGTCATACTAAATATCACACCATACACATATATTTAAATATTTTCAATGCTCACTTAAGACATATTTTTCTCTGATGTGCATAAGAAAGGAAGAAATACTCCTGGCTAGCTGTGAATATGAGGGATAGCAGAAAATCATACATTAAAACATAGTAAATCCATTATTATTATCCTAGGCCAGAGGTCAAACAACATTGTTTGCTCTGGCAGATTATCAAACCTGGTTGCAATAAGACTGGCCCTCCTATTTCTATCACTGAATGCAATTAACTTCCTTCACAGTGCCTAAAACCCACCCCCCTACCACCTTATGTCAATGCCTGAAGTCACTTGCATGAAATTGTGACTTACTCTTTCAACCAATTTGCTTTTCCCACTAGAGAGTGAGGAATGTGAAGAAACACTAACTTCCAAGTCATCAGTTTGAGATAGAAGTTGAAGTTTCAGAGACTCAGAACATTAATGACACCATCCCTTTAGACACTGTGGTGTTACTTAGGTAAACAGTGAGTAAAACAGATTGCCTGGGTTCAATCTCTGCTCCGTCTCTTTTTTGTGCATCCAGGTATGGCTCTGTAGGATAAGCACTGGACTGCTAACCACAAGGTTGGTGATTCAAACCCACCAGTTGCTCCTTGGAAAGCCTATACAAAGGTCACTATGAGTCGGAATTGACTGGACAGTTCTAAACGACAACATCCTCACTGAACTGTGAGCCACATGGTCGGTGGTTTGAGCCCACCAGCAGCTCCACAGGACAAAGATAAGGCTTTCTGCTTCCACAAAGATGTACAGCCTTGGAAACCTATACAAGGTCACTGAGTCTGAATCAACTAGATGGCACTTAACAACAACGTTGTCATTGTAAAATGGGGATAGGAGTGTCTGCTTTTCAAGGCTACTTTACAAATTACACAGGTTAGTATTTGTAAAGGTATGTGACTATTATTTAAGATAAGAACATTCAAACAGTACCAATTTATCCAATTCTTTTCTAGCAAGATGTAGTCAAGAGAATCAGATTTAAGTTTCTACTAACCATTCACTCTTGACCTTAAATGAGTCAGTTCATCTCTTTCTTGAGCTACGTTTCTTACTCAGGGCCTGAGATAATACTTCAAAAAATCATTTCGAAAAGATACTTACAGTGAAGAGAGGAAAGTGGCTCTGTAAAGTAAGAACTGCTTTGCAAACTATCAGGTCTGCCGTTAAAGGCCAGCAATCATTCCAGGAGAAAAGATGAGGCAGTCTGCTCCTGCAAAGATTGACAGCTTCTGAAGCCCTATTCAAGGTTGCTAAAAGAGTTGGAACCTACTCTACCGACACCCACTTAACAACAATAACATTGTAGAATGAGTAAACTTGCAAATGAAGAGATTGCCCTTCAATTCTAATGCTTTTCGTGTGTATGGTTTTATTACATATGTATATACGTCATTTGGAGTCCTGTAGGATAAGCACTGGGATAAGGTTGGCAGTTAAAACCCACCAACCGATTCTTAGAAACTCTATACAGGGTCGCTATGAGTCGGAACCAACTCAACCGCACTTAACAACAATGTTTTTAACATTTCTTTTCTACTTCATCTATATAGAATTAGCAGAACGATCTCACGTTGCCCGGGTTGTCAGGGGTCCAGCAGCCAACGCCAATTGGATGAGACACCTTCTGAACATCTCCAGGCCAGCTATTCTAGCTACACAGAACCCAACAAGACCCCTATAAAAGGTGTGTGAAGCATGATGTGTAACTAGCTTCAAGACTCAGGAAACACTCCTGCTGTATGTACAACACTCCATGTGCGTAGGAAGAATTTACTTCCTTTTCTCCGATAATGGACTCCTGGTGTGGCGCTGTAGATCAGCACTGGAATGCGAACCACAAAGTGAGCAGTTCAAACCCACCAACTGCTCCTCGGGAACCCTATACAGGGTCGCTATGAGTCGGAACCGACTCGAGGGCACTTAACAACACCAAAAATGAATTTATTATCAGCTCTGCCAATACTGAACTAAGAGAAAGGCCTGAGTAGATAAAGAAAAAAAAAAAAAGGTTTATTTTGTACTAGGCTGCTGAAAGTGTTTGAGTCCCTTCAGAGGAGCAAGAGGGAGCCAAGCAGCAACTCGCCCTGGCCCAGCAGGCGGCTCCTCTCCAGCCCGTGGCCCTTGTTCTCGGCCTTGATGCGCACGGCCATGCGGCGCACCTCGTCCTCCGTGAGCCCGTCGAAGCAGAAGTCTTCCTCGAAGACCGGGTTGCGGCTCCGCCGGACCAAGGCGCTGTGTTGCTTGCGCGTCTTGCCCGGTGGCTGCAGGACCAAGCTGACGCGGCAGCCGACTGCGCGGGACTCGCCGGCGCCCCCGGCCAGGCCCTCTGCGCGCAGCAGCCGGATGCGGAGGCGCCCGCTGTCCCGGCAGTACTCGGCAGCCAAGCGCAGGGTACCGCCGGCGCGGTCTAGAGTCACGGTGCCCTCGGCCTCCAGGCGCTCGGGTCGCGGGCTGTGGGGCAGCGGCGGCGGCGGCGGGGACACGGATGCGTCACAGGCTGGGTTCCCTGGGCTGACACTGCGTTCTTCGTCCTCGTCCCTGGGGGAGATGGAGCGGGCCCGGGCCAGGCTACGACTCCTCCGGGCTCTCAGCGCGCGGCTCAGCAGTCCGTCGGGGGCGCGCAGGAAGCGGCAGGTCCCGGGCCGCGGGACAAGCGTGTCCCCGAGAGGGCTGGGGTCGCCAGGGGACGCAGTAGGGACTCCGTTCGGGGTTCGCGAAAGACCCTGGGGCGTACGGGGGTTGTCTCCACCGCCACCGGAGTAGGTGTGCGCCCGGGGGCGGGGAGCGGGCCGAGCTGCCGGCGACCGAAGGAGCGCGGCGACACTAGGGCTCCCGAGAAAGAGCGACTCCTTGCGGCGGGTGTGCGGGCTCTCGAGCAGCGCGCAAAAGCCGTAGGCGGTGCGCGCGCGGGGCAGGTGCGGCAGCGAGAGCGCGGCCTGCGAGCGCGGGTCCCAGTCAGTGTGACGAGCGCGCTCGTCTGTCCCCCAGTCTTTGTCCCGAGAGTTTCGGAGTGCAGCGGGGCCAAGACCAGGCGCGAGTCGCGGCGGGATGCAGAACTCAGGGATGCGTTCTGGAGTGAGCACGTTGGCAAATGCTGTGGACTTGACGGAGGTGGATTGAGGGGCGCGACCCCAGAGAAGCCAGTCCCCACGCCCCAGGAGTCGCTCAGGACCCAGACAGAGCTGCTCCAGGCACCACATCAGACACTGGGCAGGGGCGACCCTCAGCTTGATCTGGCTGGCTTGCAACGCATAAGAGCACAGCGGTTGTCACTGGGCGCTAGTCCTGTCCCCTTTCCTCTTTTACAAGTGTTTCCTCCTGTTTTCCCACTGCCAGACCAGGGGCTCTGGTATCTTAGTGGATTACGAGCTGAGCTGCTAACCGCAAGGTGAGCAGTTCCAATCTCCCAGTTGCTCCGTGGAAGAAAGATGAGGCTTTCTGCTCTGGTAAAGGTTTGCAGTCTCGGAAACCTTTGAGTCAGACTCCACGACAGATAACCCACCACCAGGCAAATTCACTGCACGTCCCCTACTGCTCACTATTTTAAATTGATTTCAAATCAAGGGCTCTTCTTCAGTCTGGTCTCCTCTCCGTTGTCAGTCACACTTCGAGGTTTGTTGCTATAACCTCAATCTACCCTCTCTTACCTAATATAGAGATTCTGAGAATGCTGGCAGCTTAACTTTGATCTCACTGTCTACAGAGCCAAGAGGCACTTTGTTTAGTGCAATCGTTCACCGGATCATTGGACATTGTAGCCCTCAGCGAAATTTAAAATAATTCTCTCACCCAGGAATTAAGTAAGGTTTGCTGTCATACTTTAGGCAGACAGCCTCAGAAGAGATACCCGGGGAGTTAGACAAGCAGACTGGGTTCCTTCTAAGGTACCTGAAGTCTGGCGTCCGACTGGTCTCCGCCCCTTACGCCGGGCATGGATAGGGAGAGGTGAGCACTCTCTGGGATGTTCAAAGTGCGCGCGCCAGTGTAGCGCCGCAGGCCGAGACTTTATACCGGTAGCTGGGAGCGCCAGCCAATGAGCGCATGGGCAGGGCGCTGCCAAGTAACTGGATGCCACACCATCCTCTTTCCCTCTGCCACGTGGCTGCATCTGTTGAGCAAATTCAGTGGAGTCAGTTCTTTCTCTCTTTTGTCTGGAAAACGCCGAACAATTTTGTTTCATCACGTTCAAAAAAGTATTAAGTCTCGACTCCATAGCAGTCATTCCTTGTGAGGATTAAAAGGTATAAGGAAATTGAAAGCACAGAAGCACTCTACATATGCCATTAAAGTGGTGAAGAAAAAACTCACGTTTGTTTCTTACTTAACGCCCTCTTCCAAATCCAGCCTTTCTACTGCCCAGCTTTCCATGCTCGTTGCTGGCTAGCTATCCTGTTTTCTCTTATAATTTTAGCTGGTTTATTTCTTCTGTGTTAATTACAAACTACTATTGATGGTGGTGGTGGTGGTGATTGGTGATGTGCCGTGGAGTCGGTTCCGACACATAGCGACCCTGTACAGAGTTTCCGAGGCTGTAAATCTTTATGGAGTAGAAAGCCTGACCTTGCAGCCCACTCGTAACCACTATACTACTAGAGCTTTTTACAAGCTACTGTTACATATGGGGACATCTTAAAGGGTGCTGAAAATGTTTCATATCTTGTAACCCTGCATGAGGCTACAGGGATGCCTTCATATGTACAAAACACATCTAGTTTCCATTTACATGTAGGAGATTTTAGAAGGAGTCATTGTTTAGGAAGCTGTTGATGGCGATGGACAATTTGGCAATGATTATGGATTTTGAGTGCACAATATGATTAAATAATTGATATCATTAAATTGAACATGTAAAAATGTTGAATTGTCTTTTTATATATATTTACAACAATTAAAAAGATCAGCGCACTTTATTGTGTGTGTCAATGAAAAAAAAATCACAGAATACTGATTAAACCATGTGTCCTGATTTTTTATTAGGAGAACATACTTTCTACATGTTGTTGAGTACCATTGAGTACTCTCCCACCCACAGTGATCCTGTATAGGGTTTCTGAGGAGTGACCATTGAGCTTGAACTGCTGACTTTGTGATTCAAAGCGATTTGCAGTCCAGCGCATTAACCCACAGCACCACACCAGGACTCCATGTATAGGTAATGTTTATAGAAACTCTGAACAAATCTGGTTTTCCTAGGCTTTGCCCACCCCAGAGACCCTTTTCCTCCCATTTGAAAATGGATCTCTGCTAGTTATTTAAGAGAGCTGCTTCCAGGCAGTGTTCAGGTTGAAAAACAGCTGAGATTTTTTTCTGTGTTTGGATGTATGATCTTTCTACTAAACATACTGCCAGCAAATTAATGGCTTTTCCAGATAAAGTTCAAGGAATTCGACTGAATTCATTCCAAAGTGATTTCTGGATAGGACATGTACATTTTGTGCTTGAGGTACACACACAGAACCATGTTACATGGTTTTCACATAGTATGTAGAATTGTCACAGAAACACTGCACCATCAGATAATCTCTATTTTATAATGAAAAACTGAATTTCATAGGTCAAGTAACTTGTCCAAGTCATATAGTGATGGACTGTAGGATAAGCACTTGACCGCAAAGTTGGTTTGAACCACAAGGTCGGCGGTTCAAACTCACCAACTGCTCCTCAGAAACCCTATTCAGGGTTGCTATAGGTTGAAACTGATGCCAGGTACTTAACAACAACAAGTGGGTATACATAATGTCCTGGTATGGCGCTGTAGGATAAGCACTGGACTACTAATCACATGGTTCAAATCCACCAGCTCCTCCTTGGAAATCCTATACAGTATCGCTATGAATCAGAAGTGACTCAACAACACTTAACAACAACAACAACAACAAAGGTTATAAATGATTTTGGGGGAAGCTTAATAAAAATAATAAGGAATAATACTTAGCACTGTACCTAGAACATTGTGGTTAGGTACCATTGAGTTGCTTCCTACTCATAGCAGCGTCATGTGCAACAGAAGAAAACACTGCCTAGCCTTGCTCCGTCTGCAAAATTCTTGCTCTTACTGCATTATTGCAGCCTCTGTGCCAATCCATTTCATGGAGGGTCTTCCTCTTTTCGCAGCTCCTCTCTTTTACCACGTGTGATGTTCTTCTCCAGGGATTCATGTCCAAAGTATGAGAGACAAAGTCTTGCCATTCTCCCTTCTAAAGCAAGTCAGATTTGTTTGTTCTTCTGGAAGTCCACGTATATTTAATATTCCGAGTCAACAGCGTAATTCAAAGGCCTAAATGCTAAATGCTGATTGTTATTAATCAAGGTAGAAGGGAGGTTGTAGAGTGTTGTTGTTAAGCATCATCATGTCAGTTCCAACTCATTCTGTATAGGTGTCCAAGGCTATATAAATCTTTGCAGGAGCAGAAAACTTCATCTGTCTATCATGGAGAAATTAGTGGGCTTAAACAGCTGACCTTGTGATTCTCGGCCCAGTGCTTATCCTACAGAGTGTAGTGGTTAAGAAAATTGGATCTCAAATCAGATCTGGTTTGATTCCAAAATGGTGACTCAGTATGTGACTTTGAGAAAGTTACTTAACCTAAGCTTTAGTATAAAATGTATGAAATAACACACATGAGAGATTTAGCATAGAGCCTGACATGAACAATAAATATCAGATATTACATTTATTGTCATTGTACAAGAGAACACATGTTCATTGGTTTAGTTATTAATTCAAATAGAACTGAATGCTTCCTGGGTTCCAGCCACCAAGCAAGGCAGGTAAATTCAGACTGTACCAGATCATGCCCACGATATACAGCAGTTAGAAGTGGATGGAATGATGAGAATGGAATATTGGAATTCCATCAGACTGAAGCAAAAGAGAGAAGAGACTTTTGTGAACACTCTATACATTTAGTATGAGGGTGAGGTTGTTGGGTGCAACCAGGTGGCTTGACTAGCTACCTGTCTTTATACCATCTCCACCCTGGGCACAATTTCTGGACTATAGTTGCATCCATAGAGGAATGACTACTAAATGAATACTAGGGCCATATGTATTTGTTTTAACTGAACTCTTCTTAGCAGACAACACACTGTTCGCTCTGGGAGTGTGAGCACAGAAAGGAGCTCAAATAGCAAGGAGCACAGATCAAAACTCAAAGTCTGAACGGTTGCCTTGGTTTTTCTACCTATGATGTGTCATCAGAAAGGAAAAAAACACCAAGGCAAGAGATATAATTCTGGTATAAAGAATTGGCGACTTTGGTATGAATCTGTCCTGGGTTCACATCTGTTACACAATTTTATATCTGCTGGTGAATTAACCTTTCTGAGCCCAAGTTGTAACCTGAGAGTAATACCTTCCATACAGAGTTGTTGTGCTAGAAAGATCTGCAGGAAATGTGTGACACACATGCAGTGTTTACTAACTGATAGGTGTTGTTGCTACAGAGGTTTACTTGACCAGGGAATAGCTGATTCATACATGAACTCTTTTAAAAACCATTTCTCCAGCTAGGTCAAGCAAAGCAGATTGGCTTTGTTTTTATTAACAGTGCACTTTCTTCAATAACACCTCAAAGCATTTCCTGTACAGGGTCGTTCGTAAACAGCAGAGATATGCTCTCTTCTGGGGCATGACTGGTCCCCTGTGATCACATTAAGACTTATGTTTTACTTTGCTCAGAAGCATGAGCCACCCGTAACAGGTTCAGGGCACACACATCTACTCAGAAGAAACCAGCGGCTGTTTGGAGCTCACACTGAGAAAAGACAGTAGCAGAGCTAGTAAACATTTCTGTGGAGAAGGCAAAAATAGATTGTATACCATGCAGGACAGTGTCCTCAGAAATAGGAGATTCAACATTTTAAATCATTCTCTCTACGTATAGGTTAAGAATCAAGGAAAGCAAGACGATAGTATATCGTTAAATACTGTTGAATTGGTTTGACTCATAGTGACCCTGGATAGGATTTCTGAGGAGTAGTTACTGGACTTGAACTGCCTACCTTGCATTGAGAACCCCAGTGCTTATCCTACAGTGCCACACAGAACTCTAGAAGATGGTTTTTGTTTGTTTGTTAAGTGCCATCAAGTCAGTTCCGACTCACAGTAACCCTTTATAGCGTTTCTGAGGAGCAGTTGGTGGGTTTGAACTGCCGACATTGTGATTAGTAATCCAATGCTGATCCACAGTGCCACACC